TCAACCCCCACCGGGGTCGCGACCCACAGGTTGAGAACCGCTGATCTAATCCATTACCAACCAGCAGACACTGGTTTAGTACAGAGAAAGCTTCCTTGGAAAGAGATGGAAAGGAGAAAGAGAGTTGGGAGTCATCAGCATACTGGTAACACCCAATAGCAAAACTCTATATAACCTCTCCCAATGGTTTCATATTGATGTTAAATAGCATTGGGAGGACGGTGGGATCTAAATTAAATAATAAATATTTCCTTGACATTGCCCTCACTGTAATGTAGCACACTTTGGCTACAGAATTAGCAGGAGGTAACAATCACTGAAACAATTATAATGGCAGATGGTAAAGAGCCATGCTGGAAGCAATATCCTTCCAGAATCTGATTTGTGTGAGAGGGAAAGTAGTTTACTTCCAGTTTGGTCTTGTGATAGACATCAGCAACCTCCTTTATATTTGCTCATCGGTGTGACCACGGGAGGTTAAAAATAGGTAATTGCACCCTTTAATTGCACCAATTTTGTCTAACTACCTGCAATCTATTTCAGATGCCAAGGACTCTTTCAGACAGAATTCTTAGCTAGATAGTATCAGTTTAGGAACCTTACCTGGGATTCTGGGCCTTGTAATCCAAAAAGCTTCTCCATGCTCTGGGCTAAATACTATCTAGCAAAGATCTGAAACTGGTTTCTCCCAGGACTCTAATCCATCCATCCCTGTAGCACTGCACCACATGGCCAATGTAACTACTACACTTTCTTAAAGTAGAGATGTTGGGATTAAGCCCGATCTGACAACTGCATCCTCTGCTATTTGATGTCTCCCCTGTAAGAATGAGTTTTAATTGGAGCAGAGGACCGTTCATAAGCCTGAGGAACAAGCTCAAAAGTCACTTGCTTTAAAAATATTTATTGTTTCATGCATTCCAGGGTTCAGACATGGCACTGAAAACCACAGCTACTCATGGCTGAAATCAAGCCTTCCTTAAGACTCCCATAAGAACCAGCTTGGTGTAATGGTCAGAGTGTTGTACTAGGACACTGGCAGGCTAGGGTTCAAAACCCTGCCATAAAAACCCACTGGGTGACCTACCTCAGAGGATGGCAATGGCAAACCTCCTCTGCAGAAACTTGTGATGAAAAACACATCAAAATGGCTTAGAGGCACACAACAACAAATGGGCATAAACTAAGTTTATCACATGGGGGCAAACTGCAAAAAATCCCATGCAGAAATGGGATTTTAAAAACAGGGGGAAACCGCAAAAGCGGGTAGTTTTTCACACACAATGAGGTTCATGTGACATTAACCCGAATGGAAACTAAACAAAACCTGCTCCTTTTTACCTTCAGAAAATCCTTTTTACTTTTCGAAGATGCTAATGTCATCTGAAAAACAACCAGCTTTTGGCGGGTTTTTCCTACTTTCTGTTCAGGTTAACCCCAAACGTCATCTGAAAAACTACCCACTTTTGCGGGGGGGGGGGGGCGGTCAGTTTAAATCCAGTTTCTGCATGGGATCTGTCCCATGTGATAAACTCCAAAGGTCAGGAAAAGCTTTGTCTCATCTAAACCCAGGTCTGTCCAGTCCTTCCTTCTAGATGGCTGACCAGTCCTTCCCAGGTACTTTGGGAAACTGGCTCCAATAAGATCCCAGCCCTGAGTGAGCCAAAGAGTTGCTCAGTGGCCCTCAGCAAGGTCGGTCAATTAAGTTTGTTTCCCTCTCTGTTAAAAATTAAACAAATCAAAAAGAAGATCAATAGGATACTCTTTAAAGCCAGCTTTAAACTAAGCCAGTGTGGCATAGTGGTTTGAGCACTGGACTACGACTCTGGAGACCAGGGTTCAATTCTTCACCCACTGGAAGACCTGGGGCATGTCACACTCTCTCAACCTCAGGGGAAGGAAATGGCAAACCTCTTCTGAGGGAATCCTGCCAAGAAAACCCCATGATAGGTTCGCCTTAGGATTGCCATAAGTTGGAAATGACTTGCAAGCACACAACACACACATACACACACCCATTATCCTCACATCAACCCTGTGTAGCAGACCACTTTTCTAGGTGGGGGAGAGGACTGCAACAAATGGAATTTGATCCCAGACCCTCACGCACACCCAAGGTGACCAGATGTCCTCACCGCTGAGAAGGATAAAGTACTGTAAAAGTAAGACCTTCAAGAAAAAATGGAGGACATTACCAAAGAAAAGCTCAAAACACTCACATTAGTTATAATTCAGGCTTCTTGGTCATGCTCAGAATAGAGGACATTTTGGAATTCCTCCTGGAGAGAAAGCTGAAATATAGGGCATGTCCAAGAAAAGGAGGACAGTCGGAGCCCTGCACAAACCCCGCTTCAAATCCAATCGTGCCCTCTCTCTCCATTTCCACAGTGCATCTACATTGTAGAAATTATGCACTTTGACCCTGCTTTTACTGCCATGGCTGCATCCTACAGAATCCTGGGAGTTGTAGCTTTGTAAGGAAACAATACTCTTTGGCAAAGAAGACGAAATACTTTGCAAAACTATAAAGCCTAGGATTCCATAAGATGAAGCTAGAGCACCTCAAAGCTGCATCCACACTGCTGAAATAATCCAGTTTGGCCCCACTTTCACTGCCACCGTTCCATGCTATGGAATTCTGGGAATGGTAGTTTCTTGTAGCACCAGAGCGGAATTCTATACTCCCCAGAATCCCATAGCCTGGAGCCCTGACAGCTAAAGCAGTATCAAACTGGATTATTTCTGCAGTGTGGATGCAGCCAAGTGAATTCTTTCTACCCAGCGGAACTCTAATGCCACCACAAGCTATCATTCCCAGAATCCCATATCCTGGAAATCTGGCAGTTAAAGCGGATTGCTTCTGCAGTGAAAGCAGTGCCAAACTAGATTATTTCTGCAATGTGGATGCAGCCAAATAAAAATAGGTTCTTTCCACACAGCGGAGCTCTAGTGCCACCGCAACAAACTATAACTGCCAGAATCCCATTGCCTGTAGCTATGGTAGTTAAAGTGGTGCCAAACTGGAAAAGTGTGTTCAAAAATTGTTTCACGGCTGCTTCTGCTGCAACAATTTATGCTTATAAACAGATGACATGAAAAGTGATATGATTACCTCCAAATGGAAACACCATTTAGTTTTTGGTCATCCATAAATTCTAGCCAGGCGCAAGAACTAAAGATTCTTTTCAGGGATTGCTTCAGAAATGATGGTTACTTATTATTGTACAGCATGTCACCTGGTGGTACTAATATGAACATGTGATTATGGATGGGAAGAAGGCCTGAAAGTTGGTTGTCTTTATCAAGAACTCCCCATCCCCAATCCCCAGTGTATCACTACTCAGTATGTGTGCTTGTGAGCCAAGGTTTTGTATCAATTTGTTGTATTATATAACTGTGTGCTCATACATTTAAAAAGGATAATGTAATTAAAAGTGAAAGAATCTTGCAAACTAGGTCTAGGGAACACTGGCTGTCTGTGCCGGAGAGATAAAACTTGAAGTAATGCTCTATCATTGTAAAATGACTCTTCAACCTCTTGAGTTAATCACTCATACGCTCATTTCTAAGTAACATGGGCCTTTCCCTGAAAATAACTAGGGGCAGGTGCAGGAAAAGCCACAAAAGTGCCTCCTTTCTACATGAAGGTGTCTGTCTCCCTATTCCT